GCCGGTCGGTTGCTGTTAATGTTAAGCTCAAGATATTCATGGTTATGACGTATTTCTAATTATGCTAATAGAATCACTGGCATTAGAATGATACAACTAAAATACATATCATCCCATCGGAAATAAATCAGTGTCGTGTTTACCGTTACATTATGAACGAAATATGTAAAATCTAAGCGTCATAAATCAAAGCCAATCACTTGTTTAAAATCTAGAAATCAATTTAACTTCAACTTTGGAGAAAATAATGACAAACGATAGCTAAATTTTACCATAAATGTGAATAATATTAAATCGAATTGCAAAACGGCTATTCCTCCTTGGAATAAAACAAATCCTATAGGATGCTAGTTTTTCTCTACAATGCTTAGGTGATATTTATGATCAGTAGCTGGGAGCGAATAATAATCTTTTCAAGCAAGCGGTTTAGTCAATACTTTCAACCAAGTCACTCAAGGAGCATTCAAATTGTTTCATTTTCAAGTTTAAGGTTATATAAACTTATATAAAATGCTGCGGGAGCCAACACGATCTCCCTTATAAGTTTAGCATGCTTCAAAGATTTTATGACACAATCAATTGCACTTTTGGTGTCGGTAATTTACTTGCTCAATTCCCCCCGTACTTAATAATTTAACTTTTTATAAATTATCAATGTAGCGTCCGCGACAATAAGATTCTGTGCCGTGTCGGTTTTTGAGTATAATAAGAATTGAGCAATAGTTTAATGCTCGTAAATGACCAAGTAAAATATGAAATGGCCTTCCCATAGCATACCGCAAGAAGTTTATACATACATATTTTTTATCTGTAAAGTTTACTGCCTTAAATCTAAACAAGAATGAACATTGCAGTTTCTGGGTCGCTCATCGATTAAGTTTTTCAATCATTATGAAATCAAATACATTACACCTATAGTAAAATGTTCGAATGAACGTTTTCAAGTGCTTATATTATCATAATAAATCACCTATCTAATAAAAATTGCATAAAAAGCGAATTCTCTGCACACACACAAGTTTTCACATGTGAAATTTCTATTGCTTTTCAACTCCATAATTATTATTATTATTTTTTTTAGTGCATAACAATAGAGCTCTCTGTTTGAAATTGTATGTAATGTGCACAGCAGGATAATCAATTAAACAAATAAGCTGAAACAATAAATTCAAATTTTCCAGAAAGAGTAATTAAATTGAGTGGAAAAATTTGATTAATTTATCTGAATAAAATTACAGAAAACAAGCATTTACTTTCCAATGGAATTTTAATTTCACGATACCCAGGAGCCAAGAAGAAAAAGTTTTCGTATATTCAAGATACCAATTCTCTCACTCTCAGGTGACACACATTTAATTTCAGTGAAATTCTGTCAGAAGTAGCGATGACATGCAGCTTTGTCAATATGGTTGAATTTATATATTCAGCTGGTCAACAGGTTCAGAAGCTTTGAGCATGATCTCCAGTTTGCATGTTGGGGCGGCCACAGTTTTCAAAATATCCATGTTTTTCTTGTCCTGGATGCAACCGTTGAAATATGTCACCTGACACCTACAAAATAATGCAGATAAAATTAGATTTCACTTTGCGAATGCCATGAAGGATATTATATCATAAATGATATACGATATATGAAAAGTTTACTAAATTTGTCATCAGAAATTTTTGGTGTGATGAATTTACCATGGAATTATCTTGACCAAAGTTTTGGTCATGACTATTACTGAGTATAAAATCAAATTATATTGGCCACCAAAATTTAGGTTCTGCTGAATTTAATCGAATATAATTATAATCGGTTCAACTTACTTTGCTTTGTTGAAATGTGATAGATAAGCATCACACGGAGAGTCTATTTTTCGAGAAAAATCTAACTCAATTTTTCCAGTGAAATTTTCAATGATTGAACCCCATTCAGCAGGCGGTGCTGTAGCTGGGTCTAAATTCACTCGAATGGCTTTACGATCATCGTCCGTTAGGAACCTCGCCATTCTTCTTTCATCGTCCGTCAGGAACCTCGCCATTCTTTTTGCATCGTCCTCTGCTCGGAAACGTTAATCAACTTACATAAAATCGAATCGTAATAATAATTTTAACTCATTTATACGATGTAGCGTTTCCAAATGAATTAATGAGATCCGAAAGTACTAAAAAAAATCCCTTCAAGAACTATTCAGAAAATTAATTTTCCATTGAGTATCAACTTATTCATGTATGCCACGAACCGTTCTCCAGCAACCATGCTACACTTCTCTCTTTCTCGACGGCTTCCTTCAACTTTTTGTTGTCCCCGCAGCTCTTTAGTACTTCGGTCCATGTGTCAAAGTCGGCACCCGCCTTTTGCATGGCTTGGCGCAGTTCCTCCCAGCGATAGTTGAGGGAAGTCTTGTGTTCCTCAGAAGACAACTCCTTGATCACCCATACCAGAACGTTGCGCATCCTAAAAGAGTTAGAAAAGAGAAAGTTGCTGGAGCTAGATTCTGACAAATTCAAATATATCTTTTATTTGAAGTGAAGAATTTATATATAAAGAATTTATTCCGTGTAATACACTTAAGCGAAAAATAGAGAAACCAAATTGGCCAAAAATTCGAATGGCTAAAAATCACACTCGGGTACACACGATTGCGACAATATGGCGTACACATAAAATAATATTAGTAATTGCGTTTGCAAATGGGTTTTACTTGTAATCACCTGTTTTAGTGTGGATAAGTGCCCACATTTTAGCGGTTTTATCTAGTCCTTCTTTTATAACTTGTCCTTGTCGAAGAGTAGACGTCGAAAGAAAAAACTGATTGACTAAAATCGTTCGTGGAAGATTCATCGCAAGGAATTATCTTTATTATTGGCTTAAGGAAGAGCATTTCATATTAGTGCTTGTGATAACGCTGTTTTTAGGAATTGGATCGTTAGATGGTGTTTGATTTTCCGGTGTATTTTGTTAACGAACGAACGAATAAATATGAAACAGACTTTGGTCTTCATTCGTTCAATGCAGTTTCTGATTATTTTCTTGACACTATACACTTCTTGTTTCAGGAAGAAATGTCGATTATCCAATCCCGTTGTCAACTTTAAGCCGAAAAATACGGAAGATTGTTTCAAAACTCTATACATGGGTAATTTAGTTACCATAGTTAACAATGAAAATTAACTGTACGTTATTAGTTCTATTGAATTGGTTATTGTGAATAAATATCATATGGATAAACTAGATATCAACTAGTTCTTATCTCGATAGCAACTGTCTATTCCCTCGAAATTTTCGTTTGAAAATTTGTTATCAGGTTCGCAATTGAAGTAGAGGTTAAACCGCGAAAACATTCCTTTGGTGTTAACAATGCAATATCTTCTAATCTAATGAAAATGAGAGTTCAAGTTCTAATGAGAGTTCAAGTGTGAGTTTGCCTGAGTTTGAAGCCATAAACTAGCCATAAATAATGGCTATTTGGGCAAGCTGCTGATACAACCGTTGTGTCGGGACTTTAGCTAGATTTGAATTTTTTAGTGCTGAAATGATACCGCCATGCAAAACGGGGAGGTTGGACAGATTATTTGAAAATTAAAGTGGGATTTTCAACTTGGTTCGGGCAAGTTTTATTAAACTTGTTGAAATTGAAGTTCACTTCGACTTTAAAACTCGTAGTTCAATGTGAGTTCCACGATAAATGAGAGTTATTACTGGTCGTTTTATACGATTCAGGATCACAGGATCCGTTGAACAGGTTTCGGGATTGCTTTAGACGAGGTGATGGGATTTTGGATGACAGACTGACTGGATTTACACAAAGTATAGGTAAATTTCCGAAAACTCTCAAGCAAGATTCGGAAAAATTGTGTTGAAATCATGTAACGACGGGCTTAGACGCAAGTTATTTAATAATTTTCGTGTATATATATGGGCATATTCTACTGGAAATCAATTTGTGTCAATTAAGTTTCTACAAGCTTTGAAACTTTGTCTGAGCGTGAGCTGTACCGAAAGAGTTTGCTGCCAAGTTTCTTCCATATACCTTCAATTTAACATACATCGATAGAAATTCGTTGTGTATATGTTAAATGTCTTCTTTTTCTGTAAGTTCATCGGAGTTTGTAAAGATAAATTTAATCCTCTTATTCAGGCTAAAATGCATAGGTAGATCCTTTTTAAATAACATGAATTGAACTTCGTGAGCCTATTTCGTTATTCGAATGGACCGAATGGTATCACACAGGAACGTGCCAAAGTCATCTCGTCATTATATATCAAAATTACCAAAGAAAAGGCCGCTTTCTAAAACTGTATTGCCGAAAAGTTGAGTTCATCAGTTACTTATCTTCATCCCTAATTTCCAGACAGTAAGAGTCACTGGTATATGGGTACTGAATAATTTGAAAATTAAATATTGAAGGAATTTTCTCACCGCAATGATAAATGGTATAAAATTTATGCTATTAAATCATGCTGCGCTGAGGAATTAGGCAAAATGTTGTTAACTGGTTTTGATTTACCTTGTCATTGGTTTCGGTCGCCACATCATGATAGATTCCAAGGTTTCACGCATGTCACACAGGCGACGCACTATGTATTTCGCTGCGAAGTATTCTTGAACGCTCTCATGTTGAAAAGAGCGGGTATTTCCTTTTTTTATCAGAACGATGTCAGCAGCCAGATGAGCGAGTGCACTTCCTGCAGCGTCATAGTTCTTCAACTCCTGGCGGCAAAGGCGTTCCAGCCGAGACAGCTGTTCCTCTGAAATGGTGTTCATTTGACCATGAATTTGTTGCACTGCAAATTCTCCGATGACCACGAGCAAATCATCACTCAGCCTCTTGCAGTTGAAAATTCCCTGTCGCTGCAACTTGCACTCCAGTAATTTTCTGTATAATAGGTGAAGATCTGGTGCCACTTCTGTTACTTGAGTCGTTTTACCTAATCTGGGTTTATTCTTCTGAAGTTCTTGGCACAGGTACTGCAAACTCGCCGGCGATTGGAAACAATCTCGCACGTTCTTATTCAATTCATTAAATTTTTCGAGCAATTCTTTTTTTTTATCCTCAGTATGAGTTCTGCTGTAGTTCCGTAGAAATGTTTTTTGATCATTCAGGTTTTCGATAGGCTTCATTCTGAAACCATTTTCTTTCAGGCCTATCTTTTTGATGCGAGTTGAAAGTTCCGGCTCTTTTTGTGAAATGGTTGATATGAGAACTTTACAATCCGTAAACTGGACTTTCCTAAGCAAGTCTTCTAGTACGCGAGACGAGTCTCTGTTCAAGTCATCTGATCCTTTAACGAGGAACAATGTTTTTAGACTTAGGATTTCTTGAACAATCTCTGAAGCTCCTAGTTCGTGACACAGTTTACGAAGACAGTGTTCTACGACGTCCTCCAGGCTGGTAGCTGTTCTGTCGGAGCAATCGTAGTAGATCAGTAGTTGAAATTTTGATAAGTAATCCTTGTTCCTCTCTGCTTTGTAGAACTGTAAAGTTAAGTTTTTAATTAATGTCGTTTTTCCACAGCCCGGTGCTCCAATGAGGATCACTACTTGCTCTTGCTCAAGGCTCAAAAGTTGTCTTGAATCTACGGGTTGAGAAATAGGTGATTCTGGCTTGTTGTGTTCACCAAATTTAACATTCTCGAAGATATCCATTCCATGGAAAAGATCGGTTGACTGAGGGATTTTAGTAACGAACAATCTATTCTCCTTAAGAATACAGTTGAAGTATTCACGGCAAGCCCTCTTCAGTTCAATTAAATTCTGAGTCTTTACGTGGCCTAACTTTTCTTTTTTTTCTTTCTTGACCTGATTGTCTTCGACTTGTGGCATGACTTTCGTTGTGACGATCTGATCGATTCTCTTTTTTATTTCTTCATGCACCTTATTTGCGTCTGATTCAGAAACCTCGTAAGTGATTGAGGACTTGGTTACCAATTGAATGAGAGCTGTTTTGATTTCTTCAACTTTTCCTTGGTCTTTTAGGTCACTGGTATTGTGCATTATCTTATTTCTGAGTACTTTAATTCGTTTGAACGAAGCGAAAGCTTCCTGCTCCTCCTTACTATCCTTCCGCGGTGAAATTTCATGAAAGGCACACATAAGACTGAATAGCAGCGTAACATCGAAGTCAGCTGAATTGGTGTTTACTTCTATCACTTTCTTCATGTCTTTGTGGTTGATCAGGCGCTTCCAATCATTCTTGGTGAGCGGTCTGTTAAGTTTCCTCTGTATATATTGTTCGTAAGTTTCTGCATCATCTTTATCGGGCGACGCCCACGCAACGACTTGCCGTAAGACGTCGGGCACGAGCTGCGTGACCGTAATGGTATTCCTGGAAACGATCTCGTCCTTTTCGGACAACTTAGATATCCCCACCTCAATCTTGTTGACAAAATCCATCTTGTTCTGCGCGAAAATGAAAGAAAAATCAGCGACGTGTTATCGTTATAATAATAGTTAATGTGAGCAGAATGACTCATCCCATGAGTGACAATTCTCCTTTGCCGCACTTGTTAGGTTAACTCTCCAATACAATAATTAATTGGTTACAATCGTCCATAATGGGAAATAGCAAATGAGTTTAGTCCGATTGAAATGGAAATCGTGCGATGAAAAAGGTGACTGAGTTAGCAATATCACAGATTCGTCGATTTAAGGTACATTAATAAATCTAAAAAAAAGTCTGGAATTTCCATACATCTAACGGCAACAGAGACATTCATAATACTTGACATTGTTAAAGATTCTTAATTAGTATATACCTTAAATGAAATTTCATGCATCAAATTAAATTCATAAGTTATCCATTATAAATATGAGAAAAATTCTGTCATAATTTAGAAATATTCTATCGCACCAAGAATAATTAAAGAACATTGTCATTACGTCAGCTAATTTAATTCTACACCATTAGAAATCCAAGTAAAATATATCATTTAAGAAGCACATGCCACGGAGAACTACATACTATCAAATTTGTCACCAAACAAGATAAGTTAAATCAAGGACGTAACTTAACACTTAAAAATGTAAAAAATTCAAATTTTCTATATCGGTGAGAAACAAAATGAAATTCAAAATGATTTTCAGTCTAACGTTCCTGAATATTTGATTCAGCCCTCAGAAAATTAACATTGTAAATGGTTGAAACTCACTAGTGGGTTGAAGGGTTGTGCACTCCTCTACTGCGGCCAAGCAAGTGACGGAGGTAACGCTGAATTCTCACTTATATAAACTTTCTCTTTCATACCAGACTTCTTATCAACATAATAAAATGATAAGAAGGGATGATAAGGAAAACCTCTCTTAGGTTGTAATTGAAATTTTTTGATCTTGTGATAATGAATCAGCATTCAATAAATATTTAAAACAATCAAGTGTTAGTGCCTTCACTGAAACTATTTGCATGTAGAAAAATGAAAACTGGTGGGCTTAACTTTAGATGTCCAAGCTTTGTGCAAGCTTATCCATTGAATTTGTGTAATGTATTGATTATTTAAGGTAAAATTGTATCCAAATACCCGTCTACTTTTTTTATTGCAAAAAATACGATCAAATAAAAAAGGGATTTCCAATCTTCTCTTGATTTAAAAAACTTGAAAAGTAATTAAATGAGAAGAATTAAACTTCTTTCAGAATTATGCAAATTAAAAATAAACAGAGAAAACCTCGAGCAGAACTCGCGATGAAGTGCTAGAAAACAATGACTAACATTACACTCACGTGTGTGTAATGTATGATATAGTGATTGACTGATTGCTGGGTTTCAGCATATATGACAGTACAATATAAAATCATTGAGACATGTGACGCTCATCTCTCGTCGCTCAAAAAAAATTCGTGCGGCTGTGAGTAAAAATTGAAATCTTTTAAGGCTATCGTTTTTTTTCTTTGTTCATTCTTGGGTTGTTAAACCCATGTATAGAGTTGTCTTACAGTTCACATAATAACTAGCAAATATTGGGATATATCCAATTATAATATTACGGGTACTAGGATACGAGTAATTCCAAGTATTAACAGGAACTTTTGGCGTTTCCTCAATTATACAAATCTAACCTCTCAGGACGTGAGATTTGCAGCCTCGACTATCTAATCTTTTATCAGAGCTTAAACTGATAAATTCTCACACCTATGCATACTGTGTGCTCCTCTCAGCAGAATTTTTCTTTTCCGTTCATTTCACATATAATGTCATGATCATTTGAAGTTTATAGTTTTTATTTATACTCCAGAGAAGCTTCTTCTTTCCTAATATTATTCTTTCGTGAGAAAAATACTGCGGTTCATAACAATTTCATCAGTTATATTGTAGAAATAATTCGATAAAAAAGCACGAGCGTTAGAGTTGCCTACTGCTTGGGTAATTCTGGTTCGAAACGCCACATTCAATACTCGTAACCAAAAATTATAAAATTACATGCACACATTTCAGGGCTCATTACGCGCTGGTGAGGCCTGTTTTCTCATTTCAACCTCCTCCTGTTTTGAGGAGGTTGAATGAGTTTTTTCCCCGTTTTGATGGAAAAAAAGGGTAACGAAGCGATTTAATTTTCCCGCGTAAGGTATTAATTGAAAACGGAATGTGGCAAAATTTAGAATAATATCCGCGTATCACTACAATGAGCTTTAGAGTGCGTGTATATAATTTCATAATTGTTGCTTACGAATTGAGTGCGTAAATATAGTTTTAAAAGCACGCTATTTCTAAGCTCTGAATCACTAAACCTCGCTGAGTTATATAAACGAACGCTATTAGTTCAGGACCCATCCGCAAAATGACTTAAAAAAATTATCGTTCGATGATATGGAAGCGCCGTAAAATAATTAGAACTCGTTTGATTTTCCATCATTGTGCAAATTATACAAAAGTGGCAATGAATATTAGACACATATATTAATTCAGAATGAAAAAGTTACCGTGCGCGCATGAAATTTTAACCAATTTATCTGGATAAGGAGATTCACAGATTATCTCACAATCCATCTCGATTAGATATCGTGCTTAGACTGATGGAATATTATTTACTTTGCCTTTAGAACTGCTAAATAGAATTTACAATGCAACACTTACGAACATCATGATTCATGTTCCCAATGTTTCAAATGTTTTCTACGGCAACGTAACTAATCGCAATTTTGTGCAATCAATGTTATCGAACAATATCTCTTCGCTAACTCTCTAAGAACATGTAGTTGAACAATTTTTGAAATTAATTAATTATTTTCGGAATTAAAAATTGATCAATGAGTAAACCAGTATTTACCATACGTATTTTTATCACGTTCAAAACTGTGAATCTACAAAGTACAAATCGAATTTCAGGGTATTGTCATTTCGTGTACAATATCAAAAGCTCCCAAGGCTTGCCCGCCGCTCAAAAAGATCATGATAGGTAATGCAGCGGTAATCTAATAACAATAGAACCGATATTTAGCACTGCATGGCAGCATAATTACTGACAAATTTCACGTGGTACTGCAAAATGAGATCACAGTCAGTCCGAATCATTAAAAAACGGTGGCAAATGCAGCTTCTCTCACAAAATTTGGGGTATGCTTCAGCCTCCGCAGCACACTCAACACATTTCGATTGGAATTATTTTGGGTCTGCTAGGCCACCCGATCGAAATCAACGACTAGTCAGAATCCTTTTGATGACTTTATATTCACTTGAGAGTATAGTTGAACAATTTCAAATAATTAATTAATTTCGGAATTAAAAATAAATCAGTAGGCGCAAATCAGCATTTACCCTATGCATTTAACACGTTCAAAATTGTGCAAATCAACAAAATACAAGTCCAAGCACAGGGTATCGTCATTTCTTGTACAGCATCTTAAACTCCCATGACTTACCGCCGCTCAAAGAGATCATCTACGGCGACGCAGCGGCAATCTAATAACAGTAGAACCGAGATTCAGCAATGCATAGCAACAAAATTACTGACAAATTTCTCAAGATACACGCCAAATGAGAACATGTACAGTCAGTCCCAATTTTGATCATTAAAAAAGAACGGGTCAAATGCAACTTCCCTCACAAAATTTGAGGCATTTGGGGTATGCTTCAACCTCCGCGGCACATTCAACATAATTGAATTGGAATTATTTTATGTCTGATATTCCACACGATCGAAATCCACGACTAATCAGAATCTCCTTGACGACTTTATAGGCATTTGAGAGTATGGAAAAATTTAGCTGGGTCAAGCCTAACGAGCCTGTAAGCTGCCCAGAAGCTGCACTTTAAGCCACGGTCGGAAATTCTCCGGCAGCACCCGAAAAAATATAGGTATATATAATACCAGAATCCAGACGGTGCCCGTTCGAGTGCGTGTATAAGTGTTTGTTTGTTATCCATAAGGAATCGTTCTAGATTGCTCAAATTTGTGATTGAAGGAATCACATTAACTTCATATTTGCTTTTCTTTTTTTCTTAATGCTCTAATATAAGCGAATTAGGTAAATATGCAATTCGAGTTCAATGGTGGGACCCTGTGACTATGACGGTGATGTGTGGAACATTTTACCGTTGCCAGGTACCTCGTGTTGGGCAGAAAACATTATGATGCTGGAAAATATCTTCTGGAATCCCCTCGCATACCACAGTTTTGGAATCACTATGTTAGAAGGGATCACTGAAAATAGCGATTATCAACGGTTTTCGTTAATAATAGAAATACTAGTAAAGCTTTTACATCGGCGAAAAACCAGTTGATGCAGTGGATGGCTCATCAATATGAGGAAATTATTTCTCATTAACTGTGCATTTCTTAAAGAAATTGTTGCTTTTTTTCAAGAATCTGAGAAATTATCTCCTGCATAGCTAAGAAAGTAAAATTTTATTTATTGTTCATTGTCGACATCAGTACAAATAAAAAATTTGTCGTACTGATAAAAAATAAAACGATCACTTTGGCTATAAGTGTTTTTCAATCACTATGGGCGAGATGCCGTGTTGTGAGATGCCGTTGTCAATTCATACAACAGAAAACTGAAAGCATCGTCTTCTAAATTTTCATCTATTTTAAATAGTCTGATTAATAACGATTTGGTAACGTTCCTCATAGCAGAGATTACGCAACACTGTTGTTGCTCGATTTACAGTTAGTTGATTGTAAATAACTTCGTACAATATTTTGTCAGTTGTGGCGAGAAACGTTTTTCCCACTAGCATTATTACCCACGATTCTGAATACTAAGTATGCCCTTAGTATTCAGCAAGTTACAGAAGCAAGCATTGCTATTAAATTACGTTTAAATTCAATTGCCCCTCTCTTCCTCTCACCGCTTAGGAAGGAGGCAGGCTATCACAATGGCAGGCTCGCCAGAGCTGCCCCGCATACGGGGACGAACTCAATAAGAACCGATCAGTGGCCGCCAGAGACTGTCGTAGCTGTCTGACTTGGGGTTGGAATGTTGATCATTAAGCGGTCATAGAGAAGCTGATTTACTAAGCTCCTCTAGTCCTGTTCTTTTCCTGTTTCAGAGTCAAGCCCTTTTCTAAATTTTGTTAGGGTTACTCAACTCGTTACCAGTGCGTTCCTGGACAACAAAAAACGGGCGTATAGCGCAGCTACAGTGACTGGCAAAAATAAATCTCGAGAATATGCTATTATTTTGAGCGTGATTTACCTTGAATTAGTTCTTGTTTTAAAATGAAAAGTCCGAATATTAACTGTCATAATTTAACTGCATTGATGTTCAGTCATTAATCAATGCAACATTGTGTTTTCTGAAAATCTGTGGAACATTACGGTCAAGAAAATGAGCCTGGTGCGAACCTCTCCCAAGATACGACGAGATAAGAGGTGATATCGTGGCCGATGACGCACGTAAAATTTATAATAAACTCTCTTTCTGAATTTTCCTACCTGGTAGAGAAAAAAAACAAAGTTGAAAATTGAGTAATACACTCTCAAAGAATATATTTCGCTCACATCTCTTGTTTGTTAACGCAAGAATAAGATAAAAAGGGTTGATAAGAAAAACGTCGTTTAGTTTGCTAGGGAAATTTTGTTGATCTATTTATAATGAATCCGCATTCAATAAATATTTAAAACAAATAGGTGTTATTGCCTGCAATAAAACTATGTGTACGTAGAAAACTGAAAACTGGTGGGCCTAAATTCAGATGTCTAAGCTTTGTGTGCGCTTATCCATTCAATTTGTGTAATGTATTTATTTA